TTTTTTATCTAAAACACAAAAGTAGTTGCATTAATAAAATTTTGCAGTACAGTCCTTTAAAGTTTTATTTTTTTAATCTATTATAAGATTTACAATACAAAAATTGATTTTCCAAAGATCTTTTGTTTTGTCAATTTGGTCCCTTTTTTCAGCACCTAGCCCATATTAATTGCTTCTGATTGTATCTTTTTTATTACTACTATAGGTACTAGACACGTTAAAATTAAAATTTTATTTTTTTTTATCATTTAATTATAAATTGAATTTATTTAATATATTCAATTTTGCAAATTCCCTACTTGTTATTAGTTTATAAAGACTTACTACAAAAAAAATTTATTTATTAATAAAATTATTTAATAATAGAATGATTTAATTATTTACATTCAAGACATTTGTTTTATTATAGATATCATCAAGTTTATCATTATTACACTTTAAAAACAACATGTATTCGAATAACTTAAGTTTTAGCATCATTCTTTTACTAGTTATCATGTTATTTGTATCACTAAAAAGTCTTTCACTTGAAGTCAAAGTTGCAGATACTGCAAGATATTGCTTGGCAAGTTCACTAAGAATAGGAAAAGAATTTTTTTAAGAATTTTACCAAGTAAATAGATTTGATTGATAGTTGATATTAGACAAAAAAAGATAATAGCCAAGCTTATCATTTGATTCATCAAGAGAATCTTGTATAAAAATCATTTTAAAGAATGATTTTTTATAAATCTGATGTTGTTTTTAGTTAGTTTGATTTTCATTAGAACTCAAAGATCTATTAGATGGTGTTGAACATTGATGAATAGACTTGGTATTATTATACTTTGTAAAAAGAGTGATCTTGACCTGTTGTTGTTGACTTGATATTGCAAAATGCAATTTTTTGCATCTTGGATCAAGGAGACAAGCAAGAAGCACCTCATTATTTGACAAGTTTCAATAGTATAAAAGCGTATTATATAGGGTATTTTTAATTTTAAGCCTTATATTCGTAGTATTAGTAGATGTATTAATCTTGATTTTTCTTTTTTTAGGGCCTTCTTTTTCCTTTTCTTGAGTATCAAGGAATCTAATATCATTAAATACTAGATCATCTGTTTCATAATTTACTTCATTTAGTTCATTAGAATAATTCGTGTTGTTAATTAGTTTTTCTATTAATTTTAAAATAGACAGATATATGTAGAAAATAGAAATATATTCAGAATACCAAGCTTCTCTGTAACTTCAGAAAAAGATCCTAAGATATTAACAAGGTCTTTCATTAAATTCTATTTATCATCCGTTAATTGTATTTTTTTAATCATTTTGTATCTTTTCGAGCATCAGATATAGTAAAAATATTTAAAGTTGTTAAAACAATATCTATAGCATCTTTAATAAGCAGAAGACATTTCCAAGCTAGAAAAGATAAATTTTAATAGGTGAGCATGTCTATTTTTGTACGAAGATATATCAAAGTTTTTTTAATTACCTATTATAAAAAAAAATTAAATATTCTAAATTAATGTTTTAGTTTAATACAAAATTTTAAAATAAGGGTCTAGCAACTCGATGAATCTAGCATAATTACCAAGATTAGAGATTAAATTATTTGCTAATATAAATAATTTAATATAAAATTTTCAATTAAAAATTCTTATAATACTAAGTAGCAGTCATACTGATTATATAAATGAGTAGTTATGCTAGAAGGGTTTGGCAATTTAAATTTTATTTTTTAAAAAATTTTACAAAATTTTTTAAAAAATTTAACTTAGCCAGATTATACTGTAAATTATATTTTAATCTGAAATTCTTAATATTTTTTGTACAGTCAAACCTCCATAAATGCAATATGTACAGACTAGTCTAAAACATGCATTTAGAGAGGTTTGCATTTAGAGGAAGCCAATCAAATTGTAGCTTTTAATATTTGATCTGCAGACTTGTATAACAAATTTAAATACT